CCGACAGTAGTTACCCTGACATGCCTGACATAAAAGTGACTGAGGGAGGTGTTCTGAAACTGATTAAATCAATGGACGTTTCCAAGGCAGCTGGGCCAGACCAAATATCAAATAGAGCCCTCAAACTGGCTGCGGATGAAATCGCCCCCATCCTTGCGCACATCTTCCAACAATCTTTAGACACAGGTGAGCTGCCGGCAGATTGGAAAAAGGCCAACATAACCCCTTTGTTCAAGAAGGGCGCTACATCTGATCCAGCTAATTATAGACCAGTATCCCTAACTTCAGTGTGTTGCAAATTTCTGGAGCATATTGTTGACAGTCAATTGATGAAACACCTCGACCAGCATCAAATTCTATCTGAAAATCAGCATGCCTTCCGTAGAGGACGTTCATGTGAGAGTCAACTCATCTTGACTTTCAATGACCTTGCCCGTAATCACAACAATGGTATCACCACTGATATACATGTAGCAGTGTTGGACTTTTCAAAGGCGTTCGACACAGTACCACACCAGAAACTCCTTCAGAAGATTGATCATTATGGCATCAGTGGAAAGATTAAAAACTGGATCTCTGCATACCTAAACAACCGGATACAGAGGGTTGTTGTCATCGGTGAATTGTCCAGCTGGCATAAAGTTCTCAGCGGTGTGCCACAGGGGACTGTGTTGGGACCACACTTGTTCCTCCTTTTCATCAACGACATTCAATTAGCTGTGAGGGTAGCCTTGTTCAATGCGGTCTCTCGGCTTTTTGTCGAAGGGAGATAATCGGGCCCTGCACCCACAATCAACGCGGCTACGTGCGTGTACCACCGACCCTTGTCCGTACGAACGGTTCGGTACTAACACAACCAGCATGCACACACACGTGAGTACGGACTGTACGCATGGTGTAATAAGGCAGTAAATGTAGGCCTACTATGTTCTGCGTGTGGGTGTACGTACGTACGTGTGGGGGATATACGCGCCGCGTGGCCTGTCGAACGACCGCCTTGTTGGGTCTGCAACTTTCCGGGTTTAATGTCTTTCTTTACTTTTTCATCCAGTTTTGGACGAAAATGGGCGGGCTTCAGGATATGCGGGTATGCCGTGATGATTATGTAGATTCGTCTTGGACCAATCACATGAAACAACCTTCCCAATAGTATGATTAATTCATTTTGAAGCTGACCAATCGTAAGCTTCACAAGAATCATGTGACTTCGCGCGGCATGCATAATGCATTAGTCATCATGGCGTCTTTTTTAGCGAGACAGAAATGTTCGTCAATTTTTTCAACAATTTGACATTGATTCGAGTTTTTCGGCTCGTGTAATGAATCCATTTGAGTGGGCAACGATCGTCTAATGACAGCATTACCTGCAGAATTCGTTTGAGCCTTCAGTACTGCTTCGGACAGACTGGGACTGAACGACTTTCACCCACAGCAACGGGCCGCCATTGCAGCGTTTCTTCGCGGATGCGACGTGTTTGTTAGCTGACCAATGAGAATTCAGTATACGCGGGGGGTGGTACCTCATTACCGTAATAGGTTTTGCTGGGTCAACTTAAAACCATCAAGGCACTGGGTTACGCAGACTAGCTCATGCATGTGCTGTGTGTGCATGGCTGTTGTACGAGTACGTGTGTGTACGTGCGTACGTACATGTACAAGCATAGCCTTGCTGTATGGTACAAGTTACTTTCTCACTAGCAGCGCACGGGCATTGATATGTGCACTTAATTATGCCTTGCCAAGTTGATTAGGGATTTTCTTATCGGCGATTTTTTTTTTATCGGCGAATCGATAAGCCCAACGCCTTGGTCAAGGCTACTGTGAGGGGCATTATCAGGCTATTTTCCGAAGACTGCCTCATATATCATCAGATCAACTCCAATGAAGATGAGAAATTGTTGCAGGCTGACCTAGACTACCTCACTGGATGGGCTACTATGTGGGGTATGTGATTTAATGCGAGCAAATGTAAATCGATGCGAGTCTCTCGGAAACGCAACCCTGGTGAACCTGCCTATGAGATGGAGTGGGTCTTGAAGCAACTAAGGAATCCACGTACCAGGCATAAAAATCCAACACGACTTGGGATGGGAAAATCAGACACAGCATGCTGTTACCAAGGCAACGAGAGTCCTCAACTTCATCAAACGAAATTTCTACATGAGCTCTAAAAGCGTTAAGGAAAGGTTATATTTCACACTCGTCCGGCCACTCTTAGAATATGGTGTAGCAGCATGGAACCCTTATAAAATCAGTCATCAGTCTGCGATTGAGAAAATTCAGCGTAGAGCTGCACGCTTCGTTCATGGAGATTACACCAGACAGAGCAGTGTCTCCCACATGTTATCGTCTCTTGGATGGGAGAAGTTAACTGATAGAAGGGAAACCCACCAGATGACTCAACTCTACAAGATCATCACTCACACCATTGACATTGATGCTTCAGACTATCAACCAAAAACACAGAGATCCAGGAGGGGGAACAAAAACCAATTTAACATAGTGCAAACATCCTCAACTGTATTCAAGAACTCATTTTTTCCAAGGACAATTAAATTATGGAATGACCTGCCCCAACACATCACCGACTCTTTGAAGCACAAGACCTTTAGGGACAACTACTACAACCACATCATGACCGCGACCTAGGTGCTGACACCTCCCCGTGACCTCCTAGTCAAGATCCCTAGAGGATGTTTCAGGAGGAAACCAACCAAGTACCAAGTACAAGTACCAAGTAGTACAAAATCATTGTCTGTGGATTAAAAATAATTCAATTTCATAATCAACATGACAAACAAGTGGGCTTATAAGGTCTTAAGCTTAATTTCTTAAAGGAAAGACACTTGGACGAAAACAGTTCTAGTTGCGGCTATTTTAACGCTAAACAGTTAATAAAATCAGTCACAACTAGAGGTTGTAGGAACAACCACACGGTGTTGGGCCATGGATAACTTTGCCACACACATCAATGCATGTTTAAATCCATGTTTGACTTATTCATCATGCCGCCAGAGGGCCCTCTAACATTTGATGACGTCACCTGTAACATTTTTGTACAGTTCTGCCTAGGCAAACACTCACACTTCCGGTTTCGACCGGAAGGAAAGGTCACATGATTTTGCACTTAATACCAAAAATGAAGACCCTGCAATATTGTATCCATTGCCATAAAAACAAAATCAAATCTGTAGCAATTTTATATTGATTTTCAAAGATTTACAATAAGTTGAAATACAATATTACAGGTTATGTTTAATATCAAATAGTACACATTTAATATCAAAATATTACACAAAGGACAACATTTAGGTTTGGTGAAGCAAAAAGGCTTTTGTACCCTAACCTAGGGACAGACAATGGGACAGACAGGACAAAGGACTACACCAGCATATGAGTGTGAATGCAGGTACTAAGACATAACGTTACTTTCTATACCCAGTAATACCCTGGGAAAAGAAATGTAATAAATACGAAATAAATTAAACATTACAGTTAATATTAATATGCATCAGGATTAATTTTGTTTTATTTTTATTTTTGTAGGTTTTTTTGACAAAATATAGCCTGTGATGGTGATTTTTTTTTTATAGATTCACACAGATTGTTCCAGAAATTTACACCACGTTTAAAGGTAGAGTCCATCATTTGTAATTTGTGCATTTTGTTCGTTTGAAGCAACAAAAGAGTTCAAAATCTAAAGAAGGATACTGAGCAACTAACCTGATGAAGTTTCAGCTAAGCTTCAGTTGTACATTCTGAGAAAAACAGCATTCTAAGATCTCAATTTCAAATCAAAAGTTGCTGAATCATGTTTTTGAATTGTTTTGAATTGCAACTATACGCGACGTCGCGCACTGATCCGATGAATTATAACAACTGCGCGCGCGTGTGCGTCGTTCGAATACTTGGGCGCGCTGCGCTGAATAACAAAACGAACTACTAATTTAAATTTTCCTACGGTGCTTCTTAAGAATCACCGTTGGAAATGCCTTCTTTCGTTGATTACTTCAAAATGACAGCTTCCCAGCAAGAATAATTTCACAGGGAGTTTAGTCTCCTTACTATCTTTCAACCAAGTTAGTTTTTCAACAATAATTACGCCAGTTACTTTTCGGATGGCTGCAAATGATGGACTCTACCTTTAATAAGACTGTTTTGAACAATGACGTTCAACTGTAACAAACATGGATATTTTTTTCTGCCACAATGCATTGTGGCATCCAAGCAATAAATTAGCTCCTTGTCTGTAAAAAGTACCATTTTGAGCTGAAATATTGGTTCATTGTATGCAAAAATTAAAGCACTAAAAGCTTGTTGCTTTGTGAGTGTGGGAGGAAAAAACGTGACAGGATTAAAATAACCTCCTGCCCAATGATGCATGAATCTTAATCACTCAGACAACAAGTGTTACAAAAGCTCTGCAATAGACCGATCCAGTAAGCCCCACCCACTGTGCACGTAGGCAATTAACATGTGCTCCTCTCCAATGCCACACTGCCTAGTACAGCTGTGAGCGTCATACGCGTCTGCACGCATGTTGGATCCAGTAAGCCCCGCCTACTGTGCACGTAGGCAATTAACATGTGCTCCTCTCCAATGCCACACTGCATGTTACAGCTGTGCACGTCATACGCGTCTGCACACATGTTGGATCCAGTAAGCCCCGCCCACTGTGCACGTAGGCAATTAACATGACCTCCTCTCCAATGCCACACTGCATGTTACAGCCGTGCGCATCATACGCGCGTGCACACATGTCAGACTTTTGTGCGCACATGTCAGATGTAAGTCGCAGCTGTGATTGGTCAGAACACAATGGGACGGGACTTAATGGATTGGTCTATTAATGTCAGATGATACTTTATTTTCACGAAAAAAGTCTTACTTTCTCAAACTCTTTGGAGGCAAAAAGACGATGTGCTTTTAATAATTCTGTACATTAACAAAAAACAAAGCATTCATTGTATTCCTATCGTACACATTACAAGTGTGAGTCTAGTCTGTAAAGAATGAATACATTGACATCTGGTTTGGAGTTGGTACATTCATTGATAATTACCTTGTGCACCTGAGGCCACATGTGATGTTGTCGGTTGCTGTGATGTACTTGGTGGATTCTCTGATATGTCAACTGATGGATGACCAGAGTGGTGTGATGCATGTGCATCATCTTCAATCAATTCGAAAATGAGAAGGGCAATTGTTTATTGTCGAACTCAAAAGGAGACAAGCACATTATTAGGGAACAAGCTGATTTACCCGATCATAGATCGGGTAGGGCGTAGTGTTGGGGTTGAAAATGTGGGGAGTTAAATGTAAATGGGGGATTCAGTTGAGAAGACATGCAGTTATAGAAGAGCAATTTCTATGGTGTGATCTGAGGCAATTTCTGACCACTGAAACCAATTTGAGAAAAAGATCATCTTTTAAACATCATTTTTGAGCTTGGAGTATTTGAATCAGCTACATGTATTCTGAGCAATAGAATCATTATAGTAGGCTACAATTTTTATTTGGGGAAGAAAAAGCGGGTGGGGGGGGGGGCAAACAATTTCCCCGCTTTAATATGTGTGTGTGTGTGTGGGGGGGGGGGGGGGTTCCGCTCTGTAATTTGAAGTGTTATCCAAACACACAGAAGATTACAGAATGAATTTGAATTGGGGGTGCTAACTCCATTGGCCAAAGTGAAGAACACTAGGAGGTTTAATGCTTAATTGCAAGTTTACTACACAAGTTTACAGTAACGCATCTCTAGTTGAGGCCAGTGGTTGGTAAAGCAGCAAAAGGTCTCTGCTTTGATGAAACTGTACAAAATTGCATTAAGTTTACAATACTTGGAGGGAGCAACTACATCATTGTATACAGACAAACAGTGACCTTGACATTTGTCCTGCTTTATTATGCTCATCAACAATATCAACAATGTTTACTATTTCATCAGAAACCTATTTGAATCATGTATTAAATAGAAATAAGCAAATAGGAGTGGATGCAAACAAAGAGATTGTGTATCATTAATTATTTGTTTTCTACCTTTTGATTGGTAGATATTGATGGTGCAATCTTTTGGGTTGAAGATGGGTACGTGTCCAGAGCCAGATATCTGCTGCACTGACTGTTGCAATTGATTGACTGCTGCAACTGGGATCATGTCTGGAAAACGGGAATAAAATGTCTCTCATTACACAATGCCTGAAGAAATCCCCCTCATCTGATTGGTGGGCCACTGATCACATGACTTATTGGATTATTCACCCCAACCCACGGCCTGGCTACACTGCAAAAATAGAAGTTCCATTCCATGGTCACACTATTGGTGGCACTGTAACATGGCTCTGATGGCTCTAACAAATCAGATGACAAGGATTTATTCAGGCGTTGTATAAACAAATAATGAATGTTTCACATTTGTGCAACATAAAGAATAGTTTCATGAGGTGACAGATGGAATTATTCTTACCACTGCACTCATCATAACCATTTAAAAAAAACAATTACAATAAATTCCTGCAAAAAAAAATTCAATGAAGTCAAGAAGTAAAGAAAGTGAATAGCCCCTTGCACTTCAATACACATTTCTTAACTTAAACAATTCCTTTGCATTTTAATTCCGTACAAACTGTAAAGCGTGAACAAGTCAACAGTGAAATGTCTCCAGGAATCAACGTGCATACGGTTTGCTTACAGCCAGGGTTTATTGCTCACCTGTTGTCTGGTCCTGGTTGTCTGGTCTCCTCAAGGCCAGTGCTTGCTCCTGAGTCTCTGCACAGTCTCCATCAGCAACCTGCCCCTGTCTCTCAGCATCTTGTGTTGGCATCAACTGTTCTTGTTCAGCCATTTTGGATGAAATCTGATGGGAAAATTATTGAACCATGAGAAATCATTAGGAAGGTACTAAAGCTTTAAGCTGTTAAGAGTATTCCGGTTTTATGGTGTAAATTATTGAAAGTCAACGGTTAAATACTTCAATGTTTGTTTGACATTTTTACGATGTCAAATTCAACCATTGTACATTAAAACTGCATTGATTCTCACGGCATCAACTTGGAAAAAAATGGATACTGATGTCATTGTTTTTGTCATAATTTTGTTGAAAATCTTGACAACTAGTATAAGGGGAGAGCTGGTTTCTGAGTTCATGTTGTTGGAGCAGTACTGTTATAAACGTGAATACAAAATAGGTAGAACTGCTAGACCGAAAATTTTGGACTCTCATATATCAATAAAGCAAGAGCCTAGACTCATAAACGTAGCGTTGTTATTGACGCCTCGTTCACGGGTCTAGATAGAGACCAGCATCAAGCTATCACCACATTGGGCACAGCATTCCATTATCAAGTGAGCCCCTCATTCAACACCAGATTCATAACAAGATTTGCCACTACGGTGTTTCATAACAGACATCGAGAAAAAAAATTAATCGAGAGGAATACTGTAAAAGTGGTGTTGGACATTCTCTTTCTTTTTGTTGAGTATGGCAGAGCACGATTGGCTGTACGATAACTGACTTAGTTTGAAGACCTTGAAATAAACAGGGAGCTGACTTGTAAAAACAATGGACAATGGCTTGCAGCACCACATTCAAAATGTATGTGGGTAGCGTCAGTACCATACTGTGAGGAAGGTACACTTATCACCATTTTGCCACAGAGGTCATGGCGCATCACTGGAAAACATGAATTATGCAATACATACATGTGCACCAGCAGGCACGTAAATGTACGTATGGGATCGGTCGGGATGCATGGCCTTGTTTTGTGTCTGCCTTGTGTCTTGTTTTGTGTTCTTCTTTTTTACTTCACGACAGAGTTGAATTATTGCAGCTGCTTTTTTTAAATTTAAATTAAATTTGATCACCGAGTCTGATTGAAATGGAATCCAGGGATAAATTATTTTGAAAAAACAAAACAAAACGTCTCCATAAATTCCCTCACTCCGTAAAGCTCATTGTGCACATGTGGAAGCTATGACGTCTACTGATGACCCCAAGAAATTTTGGCAATATATCAAATCACAACGTAGAAATAATTCTGGTGTTCAGGTCCTCAAGGTTAATGACGTTGACATAACTGGTGACAAGGAGAAAGCCGAGGCTCTAGCTAATCAATTCAGTAGCATCTTTACTAGAGAGGAAGCCTTGCAGTTACCATGCTTGCCCGACAGTAGTTACCCTGACATGCCTGACATAAAAGTGACTGAGGGAGGTGTTCTGAAACTGATTAAATCAATGGACGTTTCCAAGGCAGCTGGGCCAGACCAAATATCAAATAGAGCCCTCAAACTGGCTGCGGATGAAATCGCCCCCATCCTTGCGCACATCTTCCAACAATCTTTAGACACAGGTGAGCTGCCGGCAGATTGGAAAAAGGCCAACATAACCCCTTTGTTCAAGAAGGGCGCTACATCTGATCCAGCTAATTATAGACCAGTATCCCTAACTTCAGTGTGTTGCAAATTTCTGGAGCATATTGTTGACAGTCAATTGATGAAACACCTCGACCAGCATCAAATTCTATCTGAAAATCAGCATGCCTTCCGTAGAGGACGTTCATGTGAGAGTCAACTCATCTTGACTTTCAATGACCTTGCCCGTAATCACAACAATGGTATCACCACTGATATACATGTAGCAGTGTTGGACTTTTCAAAGGCGTTCGACACAGTACCACACCAGAAACTCCTTCAGAAGATTGATCATTATGGCATCAGTGGAAAGATTAAAAACTGGATCTCTGCATACCTAAACAACCGGATACAGAGGGTTGTTGTCATCGGTGAATTGTCCAGCTGGCATAAAGTTCTCAGCGGTGTGCCACAGGGGACTGTGTTGGGACCACACTTGTTCCTCCTTTTCATCAACGACATTCAATTAGCTGTGAGGGTAGCCTTGTTCAATGCGGTCTCTCGGCTTTTTGTCGAAGGGAGATAATCGGGCCCTGCACCCACAATCAACGCGGCTACGTGCGTGTACCACCGACCCTTGTCCGTACGAACGGTTCGGTACTAACACAACCAGCATGCACACACACGTGAGTACGGACTGTACGCATGGTGTAATAAGGCAGTAAATGTAGGCCTACTATGTTCTGCGTGTGGGTGTACGTACGTACGTGTGGGGGATATACGCGCCGCGTGGCCTGTCGAACGACCGCCTTGTTGGGTCTGCAACTTTCCGGGTTTAATGTCTTTCTTTACTTTTTCATCCAGTTTTGGACGAAAATGGGCGGGCTTCAGGATATGCGGGTATGCCGTGATGATTATGTAGATTCGTCTTGGACCAATCACATGAAACAACCTTCCCAATAGTATGATTAATTCATTTTGAAGCTGACCAATCGTAAGCTTCACAAGAATCATGTGACTTCGCGCGGCATGCATAATGCATTAGTCATCATGGCGTCTTTTTTAGCGAGACAGAAATGTTCGTCAATTTTTTCAACAATTTGACATTGATTCGAGTTTTTCGGCTCGTGTAATGAATCCATTTGAGTGGGCAACGATCGTCTAATGACAGCATTACCTGCAGAATTCGTTTGAGCCTTCAGTACTGCTTCGGACAGACTGGGACTGAACGACTTTCACCCACAGCAACGGGCCGCCATTGCAGCGTTTCTTCGCGGATGCGACGTGTTTGTTAGCTGACCAATGAGAATTCAGTATACGCGGGGGGTGGTACCTCATTACCGTAATAGGTTTTGCTGGGTCAACTTAAAACCATCAAGGCACTGGGTTACGCAGACTAGCTCATGCATGTGCTGTGTGTGCATGGCTGTTGTACGAGTACGTGTGTGTACGTGCGTACGTACATGTACAAGCATAGCCTTGCTGTATGGTACAAGTTACTTTCTCACTAGCAGCGCACGGGCATTGATATGTGCACTTAATTATGCCTTGCCAAGTTGATTAGGGATTTTCTTATCGGCGATTTTTTTTTTATCGGCGAATCGATAAGCCCAACGCCTTGGTCAAGGCTACTGTGAGGGGCATTATCAGGCTATTTTCCGAAGACTGCCTCATATATCATCAGATCAACTCCAATGAAGATGAGAAATTGTTGCAGGCTGACCTAGACTACCTCACTGGATGGGCTACTATGTGGGGTATGTGATTTAATGCGAGCAAATGTAAATCGATGCGAGTCTCTCGGAAACGCAACCCTGGTGAACCTGCCTATGAGATGGAGTGGGTCTTGAAGCAACTAAGGAATCCACGTACCAGGCATAAAAATCCAACACGACTTGGGATGGGAAAATCAGACACAGCATGCTGTTACCAAGGCAACGAGAGTCCTCAACTTCATCAAACGAAATTTCTACATGAGCTCTAAAAGCGTTAAGGAAAGGTTATATTTCACACTCGTCCGGCCACTCTTAGAATATGGTGTAGCAGCATGGAACCCTTATAAAATCAGTCATCAGTCTGCGATTGAGAAAATTCAGCGTAGAGCTGCACGCTTCGTTCATGGAGATTACACCAGACAGAGCAGTGTCTCCCACATGTTATCGTCTCTTGGATGGGAGAAGTTAACTGATAGAAGGGAAACCCACCAGATGACTCAACTCTACAAGATCATCACTCACACCATTGACATTGATGCTTCAGACTATCAACCAAAAACACAGAGATCCAGGAGGGGGAACAAAAACCAATTTAACATAGTGCAAACATCCTCAACTGTATTCAAGAACTCATTTTTTCCAAGGACAATTAAATTATGGAATGACCTGCCCCAACACATCACCGACTCTTTGAAGCACAAGACCTTTAGGGACAACTACTACAACCACATCATGACCGCGACCTAGGTGCTGACACCTCCCCGTGACCTCCTAGTCAAGATCCCTAGAGGATGTTTCAGGAGGAAACCAACCAAGTACCAAGTACAAGTACCAAGTAGTACAAAATCATTGTCTGTGGATTAAAAATAATTCAATTTCATAATCAACATGACAAACAAGTGGGCTTATAAGGTCTTAAGCTTAATTTCTTAAAGGAAAGACACTTGGACGAAAACAGTTCTAGTTGCGGCTATTTTAACGCTAAACAGTTAATAAAATCAGTCACAACTAGAGGTTGTAGGAACAACCACACGGTGTTGGGCCATGGATAACTTTGCCACACACATCAATGCATGTTTAAATCCATGTTTGACTTATTCATCATGCCGCCAGAGGGCCCTCTAACATTTGATGACGTCACCTGTAACATTTTTGTACAGTTCTGCCTAGGCAAACACTCACACTTCCGGTTTCGACCGGAAGGAAAGGTCACATGATTTTGCACTTAATACCAAAAATGAAGACCCTGCAATATTGTATCCATTGCCATAAAAACAAAATCAAATCTGTAGCAATTTTATATTGATTTTCAAAGATTTACAATAAGTTGAAATACAATATTACAGGTTATGTTTAATATCAAATAGTACACATTTAATATCAAAATATTACACAAAGGACAACATTTAGGTTTGGTGAAGCAAAAAGGCTTTTGTACCCTAACCTAGGGACAGACAATGGGACAGACAGGACAAAGGACTACACCAGCATATGAGTGTGAATGCAGGTACTAAGACATAACGTTACTTTCTATACCCAGTAATACCCTGGGAAAAGAAATGTAATAAATACGAAATAAATTAAACATTACAGTTAATATTAATATGCATCAGGATTAATTTTGTTTTATTTTTATTTTTGTAGGTTTTTTTGACAAAATATAGCCTGTGATGGTGATTTTTTTTTTATAGATTCACACAGATTGTTCCAGAAATTTACACCACGTTTAAAGGTAGAGTCCATCATTTGTAATTTGTGCATTTTGTTCGTTTGAAGCAACAAAAGAGTTCAA